AATTTTTCACATTACAACTCCAAACTTTGATTTAAAAAATTTTAAACTCTCAATTAAAGGAAAAGAAAACATATTAATTTTGTGTACAAGAAAATGTGTAGCTAATTGTTAAATGAAAGAAACATGCTTCTCACTCTTTTTTTTTTTTAGAAATAAAAATCTTAAACATGCAGGGTGCTTTTGAATTTAGCCTCTCCTACTATGATAACCTCAAACAAAATCCAGGTCAACTACTAATGTCAGGAGACACCTGACTGTTAAACAGAGTCTGTCAGAGTGTAATTTAGTGCCAGTATAAATCCATCTGATCTGATGACGCCTCAGAGGTGTGGTGTTTGAGAGCATTAGAGGGGGAAAAAAAAAGGCTAAAGGCTGCTAAAAGGACAAATAAGTTGTGCAAGAAGAAAAATATCAAGTACTTACAAAAGAGTGGCAAACTTCAATAAGCTATGTAAGGTATGCGGCAAACGTGAAGAATTGTGCTCTGGTCAGATGAGACCTAAGATGAACTTTTTGGCCTGAATGCAAAACTTTGCATATTACCCCGAATGCACCGTCTGCATGGCGAAACATGGTGGTGGAAGAATCATGACGCGGACATTTTCTCATATGGAAACAGAGCCGATGGGAAGATGAAGTTCAATAACACAGAAGTGATCCTAAACTCAACTAAAGAGTTGAGCACTTTGAATGGGTTTAGAAATAAAACCCATTTGTCGTTGGATAGAACGGTCCAAGGAATCAGTAATAAAATCTGACAACGTGAAGCTCATGGGCTCAAGGACCTCACAAAGCAACACATCAATCTCAAGAATTTCAAGATCTGGTTGGAAACAACATTTCAGTTTGGTTAAAAGCTTCAAAGTAATTTCTAAGCTCACCAGCAAGTTCTCATCAAATACTTTTTCATATGGGATCAGGCTGAGTTTTGCCTTATTGTCTAATCAGGTTATTTTTGCTTTATATCAAAATTGGTTTCAACATGCTTCATGTCACCAAAGTCTTATTTTAGCAGTCCAGAGAATGACAGCCTCCTCCTCAAAGCTGTGAGCAAAGCTGCAGAAACGGCCTTTACGGACAATATAATCCATAAAATAATAAAATTGTTTACATGTTTCCAAGAACCAGGTGTTTTCTGAATTCCTTTAACCACCCGAATTTGCTGTGAAGCAGCTTTAGTGACGAGGGCTCGAGCTTCCTCTTTTGAAACCAGTCGTACAGAAAGGTTAAATAAGAGAGGCAGTTCCGAGAAAAAGTTATTCTGAGAGTTACAGAGAAGGGGGCCCAAATCAAACAAGTAAAAAAAGAAGAAGAAAAAAAAAGAGGAAGCAAAACATGTACTAATTTAGAACAAAAGGAAAAAACAAAGTGGATGCACAAAGCGGCCAGAGGGAGCGATATTTAGAAATGGAATATTTAACACAACTAACTTTCGACTTGGCTGTAGTCAGAGTTCAAGATGATGTAAAAAAAAAAAAACAAACCTTGAATTTCCAGTGGAGGGTCTGCAGGACTCAAATCAACTAGGTATGGGCATATAAAACGCGACAAGCAAACTGAATGCATATGGAAACAAATAAAATCGAATGATTAAAAACAGAGTGCAGCAGCTTACACTCTGATACGTAATCCCCTTGATGATGTTTCGTTCAGAAATGTGTTTTAGAGGAAATCTGTGGATGTAAAAGCGATATAACATAGGTTTTTAACCAGAACCCAGATATTTATTTTTAGATTTACATAGTTATGGTTTTGAGCTGATGCCACAGCAGTTTATCTGGTCGCATTTTATTCTCAGAGGCTTCAGAGTCAGCAGAAGGACTGCTTACGTAAGACGCCAAAAAAACACACAAACAAAACAAAACAAAACACTGAGACGCCATAGAGAAGAATCCTGTTTAACACAAACACGCAGGCGGATGTGCTTTTAAGAACACAAAGTAGAGATTTAACAACCATCTAAAACAGAGAAATACAAATGGGAACAATAGTTTTATGAATGATGAAATTCATAAAATAAAGAAATTTGATGCTTTAGGTTTGATGGTGGCCTTTTTGCATTGAGTAGTTTCCTAGATGAAGGGTAAATGAATGCAAAAGTAACGAAAGTTCATTAAAAACCATATTCAACCATAAATAACTAACTTTCGGTATAAGTGATGCCATGACATGACGTGTTAGCGTCATGTCAATGACCTTATGGTTAATGTAAGGTAAAGTGTTCAGATCTTTTTTTTTTTTTGGACAGATGTCGTCTTCCTTGCTTTGGAACAAACTGGCTACACAGGTAGGAAGTTGAGGCTATTAAGATTCAACGTGAACCAACAACTTGTAGAATATTGTAGAGTTTCTTCCTCTTTTCAGACCATTTAGGACATCTGGAAATGTGGGATGTTTACCATAAGATATTCAGACATGCAGTGAAGCATTTTGAGAACATTAATGTCCATTATGGGATACCTCTTCTTGCACGTAAATGGCCGAAAATGCCGCCATGAATAAATAACTATCAAATTTAGAAGACTAGAAATAACTTTAATGACTTTCCTGGTAGGAGGACGAATGTTTTTTTCCAGCATGATGGAAGAGCACATAAGGTGTTTGCATGTACAAACCACTTAGTGTTTGTACATGCAAACACTAAGTGGTTCAGAGGTCAAAACAATGAAACATTGGGTTAATTATCAGGAATTTCCCCGGAAAAGAACCTGTGGTCAAACTTTAAAAAACAGGAATGCGTCACTGTAAACCAGGATCTCCAGCACAGCAGGGTAAATTATAAACCTAAAAAGAAATTTAATGCGAAGTATCAGTATGCTTTAAAAAATGTGTGACAAAAATACTAAACCCTAAAGCAGCAAACTGTGTGAGAAAAGTAAATCTGTTGGTCTTTAAAAAAAAAAAAAAAGTAGAACAAGCACACAAATTGAGTTACAAAAAAAACATTTATTTAAAAAAAAAAAAAAAAAAGCAGCACGGGTACAGATGAGCATTATACCAGAGAGTAACACACTCAGCCGAACAGCAGAACCACAAACCTTCACACCACTGTTGTGAACAGACAACTTCATCTCATCAATGTCTCTGATTTAGCTCTAGTGAAGTCCAAAGAAAACAAACATGTACTGTGTTCATGTTATCAATAAGACAAAATCATTTTGAAACAACAAAAAAATTGTTTTAACTCTCTGAGGTTAATCTTGTTGGAGTAGAAAAGTTCACTTCCGTTCAAACATGATCTCAAACGTAAGCCCGTCACACTTCAAGTATAAATGCATAGGTACGTTCAGTGTACAGTATGTTGAAAAACCTAAGGCTGCCTAATGAGAGCTTCATGCATCTGTCATTAAGCAGTCATTCAGAGACCTTACAGTAGCATTTTTGTGTTTTTACATTGCTTCGAATCACTTAAAAAAAGATGAATTAAAAATTCTAATTAGCATCATTTGTCTAAAAGAAAAAGTCACAGCAAAACATAAAACTAAAATAGTCCCTATTTACACCGGAAAAAAAATCCTATACAATTTTCACAAATGTAACTTACATCAAATCAACATTCACACCAAGTGTGAAAACACCTGCACTCGTGTTACACGATTTTAAACCCACATAGTCCAAGAACTAAATAATTAACTCAAACAGTGCAAGAAAACTCGCAATGACTAAATACTAATAAAATAAACAAAAAAAAAAAGATATTCTTCTTGATGGCGCTAATGGTTGATTGGATAAATAAATATAAACAAAGATACCTTATTTTCAGAGAATCTTTTCAGTAGTGAATAAATGTAACCTTTGCATTAGGTGGAGTTAACAACAGAGCACCAGTGAACCGTTTTGCACCTGCATGTACACAACAATACACATCAACACCACATATCTTTACATTTCAAAACAGAACATGTTTTATCTCAGGAACAAAGCGTGCCCCTTCATTTTGACAGAGAACCAGAAAAGATTTTCTGCTAATGAAAGGCACCCAGTCATCACAACCGGTGCCAGCAGGCTACGTGTGACCCCCTCAGCGCCCAATCGTGCACCTAGCGCACATCCAAATGTGGGTTCTGACACACCATCGACCAATTTGTTCACGCTCTCTTATTTCAATCTAGCACAAAACAGGAGGTCTTACTCGAACTGAAACGTGTCTGCTGAAATCTGCTGTGTTTTTAAGTCAAACGCCAGCAGATGGTGGGGATGAGGGGTGGGGGGGAGGCGGGGGGTTTCTGGTATTGGAGGCCAGAGACATAAAAAAAGGTCCAGAGGCCCAGGCTCTCTGGTCAGTTCATGAGAAAACCAGCAGCAGACTCGCTGAGGCTTCAGCCCCAGTTGTGGTAGAGATAGAAGCAGCCGAACAACAGGTTGGCAGTCAGGCTCGTCAATAAAACCGAGGGTAAGATCAAATGTTTCACAAAACCTGAGAGGAGAAAAAAGAAGAAGAAGAAGAAGAAGAAGAAGAAGAAGAAGAATCTCAATTAGGCAACAGGAACTTTTCAGCTTGTTGTCAGCATTTCAAATTTCAATAAACCGGAAACAGGACTCTTCTAGACCAAGGCTAAAAACGCTAAATATTTAAATATTGTCGCTCTCCCGTTTACCGTAAAACCCAGATTGACCTTGAGATGATGGGAATTGGTAAATAAGTACAGATCACATGAATTAAGCATGCAGCTGCAGGTTTTCTAATGGTGGGGAAATCTGCACAAGACTGAACAGCTCTCAGGATAATACTGCTTTATAAAACATTACCACAAAAACTATGTGTGCATCTCCATGGTTTCCCAACTTTAACACTTTAAACCAGTGTTTCTCAACCTTGGTCCTCACAGCCCCCCTGCTCTGCATATTTTAGATGTGTCTCTATTCCAGAACAGCTGATTCAAATGATTGCATGACCACCAAGTGCTGAAGAAGCCTGTTAATCACCCAGAAATACAATTCAGGTGTGTGGCAGAAGGGAAATACCTAAAACATGCAGGACAGGGGGGCGGTGAGGACCAGGGTTAAGAAACACTGCTTGAAAGGGCAAACTTTGTGATTTTCTTTTTAATTATGCTCAGGCTCACAATAGTTACATTTATTTATGCGTTTAGCAGATGACAACTCAGTCAAAAGTTGCATTAGACTCGCATGCAGTTTGAGGTTTTTTTTTTTTTTTTTTTTTGTAATAAAAGCTCAGCCTTTATTATAGAACACCAGGTCAATTGTGAGCCACACAATGAAGAGTTTTATAGATATTTCTACAGTCAGTAGAAACGGCGTTTTGACAGCAGCAGCTTGGAGATCTTATAAACTGACACCTGGCCAAGAAATTCAAAAAGTCCTGTGGGAAACCCAATCTGCCCGGTAATTTGCCGCGTTGACATGGTATTTAATAATACAATTAAAAAATGAAATATGGCAACATTTAGACAGACCAAAACCAGAACATGTTTTTGGTCTGTCTAAAAACATGTTTAGACAGACCTTGACTTAAGCAAGACTGCTTAAGTCAAGCAGTCAAAACTGCTTAAGTCAAGACTGTTCGTATTATCATTAAATATTATTATTATTATTATTAGCACAGGCATCAAATGACTCTCTAACATACTCTATATGGGTGTGTAAAGTATGGCAGCAGTGAACGGAAGCAGCTGAAAATCTTTTCTACAACTAATTAGTCCATCCTTCAGAGTGAACAGCATGAAACGGATAACTGTACTTTTCAATGGCCAACATACACCAATATATATTCCCATACAGCTAAATTTTATATATCAAAACATGCGATGTGATCCTACAAAATTACTTAAAGTTACTCATTTTGGGTGGAAGAGTTCAAATACTGACACAAAAGCAGTCAAGCCCTTATTTTGCTGATACAATGACAAAAACAGTAGTCACTGTTTCAGCTTTTCTGTGGGTAAATTCATGCACTGAACTTCACCTGGGAATAAAACCGATAAAAATGACCAATAACACTACACAGATTAGTGTAGGTTAACATATTTTATCAGTAATTATTGACTTAATGAGTTACTCTTGCTTCCACTTACAAATGGGATGCCTACCTTTTTGCGCAGAGAAGCTCTCAGGACTTTGTGTTGTTGTTCCAACCTGGCAGGCGGAGGACGCCGAGGAGCTGCTTTGTTTCTCCTCTTCTTCTATCACACTTCCATCTCTCAGTAAGCAACTTAAATCTACAAAACAATCACATCAAATTACCCAAAACCCCTAGCTAAAGCAGCTCAGCCATGTAATAAACCTTAGCCTTACCCACACTCAGGCTTGACAATGTTCTACACTGCCATCTAGTGGTGCTACATGCAGCCTGCAACAACCACTTCTCTGTCCAGGCCAACCGCAGATTCTTACCGTTCTGACTTTGGAAAGGAGAGACGTCTCGTGAGAAGCAGCCGCTGTAAATCGAAGGCGTCGGCTCAACGCAAAAAGGAAACGAGGACAAAGGTGGAGAAACGAGCTTTGGCTCTGCTTCGCTGGAAAATAGACGGAGCTTCTGGCCAGTGATGTTGAGGCGAGCCGGACTGATGAGGGGACGGCGCTGTCTGGCCGAACCAGAGCTGGACGTGACCGACCCGGCCACCGAAGGGGTAGGAGAGGGGGCAGGGGATGATGGGCGACTCCCGGACTTCAGAGAAAAGTAATCTGAGAAAAACAAACTGGTGAAAAAAAGACAACAACAAAGAAAACCTCACTCTGTACTGTGGCATCAGAGAAAACAAGACATTTTGGTACCTGATGATGGTGAGTCTTTGTATTGTGAGCCAGGTCTACTACCACTAAAAAGGTAGCCAGAACCTGAAGATGAGAAAAAACACAAAATGTAGATATTTTCTATAAACAAAAAATACCTCTAAAAATGTATTTTTGTTGGAGAAAAAGAACAACTCTTTGTCATGTAGAGCTCAATAAGAGAAAACCAGTATAACGCCATGAAAACACACAAAAAAAGTTTTTGAATTTTTCATTTTTCAGGATTACTTACTCAGATTTATTTGTGCAAATAACAAATTGGCAATTTGACATGACATTGCAATGCACTGGATGTTTTTATTCTTTGCCGTGACAGTCAGAACCAAACGTGGAGAAACAGGATTCAGTTTTATGCTCCTCTAATCTGGGGACAGACTTCCAGAAAACTGCAAAGATGCCAAAAAACTGAGGCTAAAACTCCATCCATTTATAGCTGCCTTTGATTAGTAGGTGGTGGAGCATTGATTAAATATATCTGATGGATATTTGCCTGATGATGTTTGACAAAATGTAATGTTTATTGCTTGTTTTGTAATTGTTAACAGTATTATGCTTTTATGGTGTAAAGCATTTTGAGCTGCTTTGTTACTGACATGTGCTACACAAACAAACTTGACTTTGATTTATATGCATACATATTCATAACTATATCACTGAAAGTGTAAAAATCCCCTTGGCCCACATTAGCAGCATTTATTTTTTTTTTTAGGTTTTTGCTTTTTAAATTTTTCCCCCCAGTTTCAATCTTAACTTAAAATTAAGCATTTTGTTATACGTTTCAAAAGCCGTACTATTTTCAGAAAAACGTTCAAACTGGACATTTCTGAGCCATTCCTTTACTTTTTTTTATATATATAGTGCAGGATGATAAGTAAATCACAGATGATTTACTTATCGCAGGATGATACTGTGATCAATGAGTTGATCAATGATCACACTATCACAAGAAGAATTCAAATCTACTCAAAAAGAACAATAGCAAACTCCAACCTATAAGTTGAATCCTACTCAGAAGTTGAAAAAGAAAAAAAAGAAAAAGAAAAAATGGTTTCATAAACTCCAATTTAGATTTGAGCGTTACCTGTCCTCGTGAGGGAGGGGACCGTCCCGAGGCAGAGGGCTCTGCTGAGGCGTCCGGGCAGAGTGGAGGGGGAAGCTTTGCGCTCGCGAGGACTGTGCTGGCGGCTGATAAGCTCAGAAATGTTGGGGGGCGGGGTGAGGATGAAGCTGTCTGCCATGTCGGGTGGGTGAAAGGGAGGAGGCTGGCTGCTGAAGGGCGGGACTGCAGCGCTGCCTGCAAGGTATCTGCAACACAAAGGCAATGTAATGGTCTACTGGCAGAAAACACGGTCAGAACCAAAGTGGTCCGCTGCTGAGAAATGATTGTGGGCAGCGTCAATAATCGGTGTGGAAAGCTAGACGGAACAATAAAAACAGCTGGGTTTAGTTGAAACGCAGACAAAACAGCCGAGACAAAAACAGCAAACAGACCCAACTACCTCAAACAATAAATTACTGCAGGTGGACATCCAAACCGGGGTTGTAACTTCAAGTGTGTCGTTAATGCTGCATGTGAAGAAGAAAACCAACCACACAGGTTTGGCTTTACAGGAAAGAAAAGCTCAAGAAAACGCAAAAGCAGAGATCTGATCTTTGTAAAAAAAAAAAAATGGCAGAGAAACGATATAAGACGCTACAGTGGGAGTTTATAGTGCAACATACACAGAGAAAAGAAGAGGAGAAAGAGACATGAGCACAGATGTGACATGATGGTTGATAAATAAAATACCAGAAGTCAATTTTGTATTTATTTGTTTATTAAAGCCAACAACAGGAAGCACAAAAAAAGAGAAGAAAAAAATCTGCAAAGTAAAGCCAGACATCAAGATCATGCTAGTATCCAGAACACAATGTTTCTATGTGCAAACTCCAAGAAACCTCTCAACAGTGATGAAGTTCCCTTTTCATGGCTGCTACAGATCAGAAACCAGAGAACAGATTGATCCGAGACAAAATGATGGAAACAGATATGACCATCTGTTAAAAAAAAAAAAAAAAAACCCCAGCGATATGGGGTCCACACATCGCTGCAACATCTATGTATGAAATATCACATTTATTAGCTACGTGCTGCACATTCACAATAACACAGAGAAGGTGAAAAATATCAACATTATGCTGTAAGAAAGGAGCAATCAATATTTAAACCACACAAAATATGTTTGCGGTTCTCATAAATGGTAGCTTATATATGAAAATTACCATAAGGGTTTTAATGCAGTGCTTTTACAGCTTAATGTTTACTTAGCAAATACTAACACTCAGACAGCTTATTATACTGATACAGCAATTCACCCAAAATGGCAAAAAAAAAACCAAAAACAAAACTGATAAATATGGAGGCTGGTCAGTCTATATTTATAGCCAGTTTTGGGCACAGTATGTAAAACTTTGGCAAGTTGTGCTTTTACACAAATACGTAAGACACAGTTACTGAAGTAGCGATTTGGCATTTGAAGAAACAAAAAAGGTTTTTCAGTCTGATGGGTTTTGAAAAAGGCAAATTTCTCCTTCTCTACTGCAACGATTACAGTATGAAAAGTTTTGTTTGCTACGACTGTAAGACGCACTTGAATTTTTCCACATTCATCTTGTTACAACCACAAACCTTTATGCATTCCTCTAGGATTTAGTGTAACACACAATTGCAAAGTGAAAGGAAAAAGAATAAATTCTAAAGAAATTTTAGAGATGAAAATCTGAAAAATGAGACATGCATTTGATTTCAGCGTCCTTTACTCCAGGGGTGTCCAATGTGCGGCCTGGGATCGTTTGCGGCCCTTAGAATAATTCTGTATGGCCCCCCGACTGATGGCCCGTAAGAGTACAAATTTGACCCTTCAGCAAAACGGATCTGATGCAGACGGACACTTTTTTGTACTTATTTACAGTGAGATCGTTAATAAATCTTATTCTTAAATGGTAAAAGAGGCAACACAACGTGTCTTTCTGTTATTAAGGCCACAAACATTAAGCAACTTTTAACTCAAAACATCAGTAAAGGAGGCTGAATACAGACAAACACCAACATATTAACATTTTATTAATAAAAAAACATTATGCAGGATGCTCTTCCTCTTCACAAATATGAAGCAATTTGTGTTGCTCTATCAGATAAAATCCAAATAACACCCTGATGCTTGTTGTTGTAATGCGACAATGTGGAAAAACAAAAGGGGCATGAATACTTTTGCAATGCAAATTTCATAACCAACAGACGTGGCAGCAACTGTCAGGATACTCAATACGCTAAAAATACCTCAAAGCGTCTAATTTATGTGTGGCGTTCCACGGTCATGGAGAACCAAAAGAAAATTCACAGCAATAAATACAGAAAACTACAATAAAGTTGATTTTTCTTTCTAAAAACAAACAAACTACATTTCTCACCTAATGATTTTCACAGCCTGTCAAACGCTGAAATGCCGCCTAACACTGCAGTTTATAACTGCACTAACAAAAAAACAATAAATCTGTGCAGCTGGAGACAGATTTTAATTTATTATCCATTTTCAGTTAGCGAAGTTAAATAAAGTAATACTGAGAATTAGTGTGGTTTGACGTGTTAACTTCATGCAACGTTAGTGTTAGAACAAAAGTATCAACAAATTAGAAAGATGATTAGAGGAATATTAGTATCCTACAAATACTGTAGCAATCATTTTCAGAATATTTCTGTTTACATAATCCCATAAAACACTTTAGCAATGCTTTCATCTGCAAAGTAAACCTAAACAAGCTGTTTAGTTGTCAGGCATTCAACTATCAGATTGCTATGATCAAGTTAAACATGTTTAGATAACTACAGACAGTACTGTGCAAAAAATGTAGGCACTTTACATGTTTTTGCTTATGGGAGGCATTTGATCAGATCCAATCATGTTACTAAATATTCCAAGTGTCAAAGACTTAAAATGTTTGTTGTTAAGAGTACGCAGTCCTGCTTTAATTGACGTCAACTCTGCCGACATGTTACCATACATCAGTCCACTGTTATAAAGAAATGAGAAAGCCGTGTGTAACAGAGATTCTGCAGAAAAGATCAAATATGTGAGAGCAGAACTTCTATGAACTTTCCACTCAAAATTCCAATTCAGATTTATTTATTTTTATTACATTTTAGACACTTGAGAAACTGAATAGCTACCTAGCTGGATTTTTACTAGTTATTCTACTGAGAAATAATGAAAACACTCACAGCTGAAGCTGGATTCCAGACTATTAAAGGCAGCGTAGGAAGCCTTGAAAAAGCTCTGTGACAATCTTAATACTGCTTTACGTTTCTACAATTTACAGTTGATCACTACAGACAAATAGCATTTCAACTTCTTGCACAATACTGTACAGAGCAAATGTTTTCCAGTGATTAGAAACATTGATTATTAGTGGAGACAGATGGAGGATTATTTTGAAAAAAAGAGACCGCAAAATGTCAGGATATTCACATGGAAACCAGGCCGAGACTAGTATGACCATGCACAGTTAGTAGTAATTAGCTGTGCAAGAACTTGAGGCAAAAGGAAAAGGTTAAGATTTAAATGTCTAAATATCAAATCTGATTACGACATGAATCAGCTTAAATGTTTTACATATAATTTAAGAAATAAATCTAGAAATGTAACATATTTAGATGACATAACTGTCTGGTCTCTTAGCTACAAAGAGCTACTGTACAAACCGAAAACGTAACAAGATCTGCCTGAAACGGGCAACGTCCCCCACAGTATGCTGCCTACGAGATCACATGCTTTTCTTTATTAAAGTAATCAGCTAGTTCAAAGTTCTTGGTAAGTTTTCCGCTTTTTCAGTGCTCAGTATTATGACAAGTAAAGGCTTTTTCGAACAATTATTAGCAAAGCCAAAGTTACATGTGCAACTTTTTTTTTTTTCTGTACCAACACTGTGCAAGCAGCAAAGCTAACATACTGAGTGTTTGTATGAAACTAAACCGTCATTCAGCTTTAGAAGCCGCTGCTTTATGCGCTCAAGGTAAAAAAATTTCTTTTGTGCAGCTGCGAGTGATTCGGATGGATACAGTCATCCATGCAATAGCATCTAGGTAGTGTTAATATAAGTTAGCACATTCAAGACATTTTTAAACAGAAATACTAGTACTGTAAAAACATACAGTAGTTAATACTGACAGGAATGTGACTACAGTCCCTCACCTTAAATGTGATTTTGTTAATGGTTTATATAGTTAATAATCTAAACTAGTAAAAACGCAATGGATTATAGAAATGTTTGAACCACCTTTGAGAAACATGGAGGACATTTTCTAAAATCATCGTAGCTCATCGGTTGAAGTTGATCTCTTCAACTTTTTCTTCCATGAATCAGTTGCTATGGTAAACCATGTGTCTATTGTAAATTATTACACTGTCCTTAAGTAAAGAGTTTGCTATCTGAATGTCATCGTAGCACAGTCAGTTGTTCTCACAACAGTATAGCAAAGGGACAGAATAAAAAAAAGACAGTGAAATAGGGAGAAATGACAAATAGATTTCCTCAAATAAAAACAAAGTAATTTAAAACATTTGTACAGGACTGGATTGAGGTTAAGCTCTATAGTGTTGTGTTATCCAATAAAGATGCCATCATTTGTTCTGAGATCAGTCTGACAGTCACTGCAAGAAAATGACAACTCATTCAAAGCATGATTGATAAATTAAAAGTGTTATTTATCTAATAAGGGTATGGGTTTTTATTTGAGGAAAAACCGACCACAGCCATGTTCGATCTTGTTACACAAACCACCCAGAGAAGACTACATGTACACTCCCAACATTCAAACACAATGTGAACATGTATTACTGCTCAGAATCTGACCTTCGATATCTGGCTCTTCGCTGACCCATTGGCTTGCGAGTCGCGGCGGCGGCGGCGAGGCCGACGAGGCAACAGAGGGAGACGCTAGCAAGCTTCACTGAGTCCATCCAGCTCGGCGTGTCGGTCAAGTAGCTCTCAGCCAGGCAGAGGCACAGGACGACAAACCACAGGACAGAGGCTATGGCGTCGATTCTCCTCAACCTGGAAATTCAAACCACCAGAGTCGCTTTTGTTACGAATTGCAAGTTAAAATGTTGCACAGAAGCGACAAAGACGCGGTGGACGCTTACCGCATCGGTCCGGCTAAGAAAATAGCCGTGAGACACGTCATCAGGCCCACGGACACTACCGCCAGCCGGTTGTCCCTGCCGTGCTGCCAGACTAGCTTGGCGTTTTCAGCAGCCTTTTCTGGGATGAAGTCCAGCAGACCCTGCCACACAGGCAAATCTGTGGCGTTGCTGGCAGTGGACTCGTTGCTGGATTTTGGCTTTGGAGGAACGACGCCCCCACTTAAGGTCTGAGGCCCATTTGGAGGGAGAGGCTGTTCTGGCAATTTGTAGACAAACGTAGTGAGAAGAAACGCACAAATCAGGAAGGCCAGGGACCGTAACAGTACGACTCCGGTGGGCGAGGACAGAGAATGGGAGCTCTGTGGGAGAGAAAGCATGGCTCCATTTCTACTCCTTTCATTGAAGAAAAACAAGGAACAATGCATCATTGGGACATAAGCAAAGGTTGACAAAATCAACCTTTGCTTCAACAACTTTGTACGTTTGTGAAAAAACATGTTTCATGTTTCAACGTGATAATTTTCACGGTGATATTTCCATGGCTACTGATTTATTATATTTTTCCTTTTGCTAAAAACTTTACTATATGTATCTATTTAGACTTTGGTTGCACTGACCTTCACAAACCCCAAGTCTGATTCTCGGGAGCGCCGGAGCTGGTGGGTCAGGAGCCTCGTACGAAGCTGGCGGTTTTGATATTTTATGTAATATTCCACCGCAGTCTGACATGGCCTGCACAACTTAAAAGTCTGCTCCAGGTGATGCTTGTAGGCTTCGATTTCCTCGTCGTAATTGTCCTAGAAAAGCAAAGAAAAAGACAAAAAAAAAAAAGGGATCAGATTTGGAATTTTCCCCCCCTGCTTGAAAATTTTATGCTTTATTTGAATTTGAGCACACTTAAACTGATTACTTACGTCATCCCTGGGAACATACGAAGCCAATTGCTTGATTTTCACAGTCTGGTTATTATTGCACTTTCTGCACAGCAGCATTTGACAGTTAACCCACTGCAGAGTCTTGGGTTTCTCAGGTGAAGGAACGCTTCCAGTTACACCATGGTTAAGATGCTCCATGTACTGAGCTGGGATGGGTTTGTTGTAATCGCCATTCTTTTAAAGATAAAACAAACAGAAAACAGAGGAAGTACATAAAAATGCTTCTATGTGACAAAAAAAAAAGGATTCCAAAGCTAAAAAAGAAAAAAAAAACGTTTTGGAAATTACCTCTTGGAAGCCATTGTACTGGTCACAGTTGGGACAATCCCAGCAGTTCCTGTTTCCATAAGGAACCACTGTGTTCTGATTGCAGAACCAGCAGTTTACATTTGCATAAGCGGGCTTCTTCCTGCAAGCAATAAGCGAGTTTTAGTTGATTCTGTTCTTTACCAAACGTGCTGATGCACTTTCCATCACGTTACACCCCAGAAGCAGGATGCTACAAGAGGAAGGTGTGGAACAGTTAAAAACTCATGGCCATATGTGCACACACTATACAGAGGTTTTAAAAAGGTTCCAATAACAAGACCTGTAACATATTTGTCAAATATACAAGAGAAAAGTGGTGGAATAAGTGGCAACAACTTCAGCTGTGAAAAGTTGTGACAGTCATGGTGTTTAAACTGAAGGAAATGCTACTCATCACCCTCAGTAACATTACATATTTAGGATTAAAAATGCATCAGTCAATGGGCAAGAGGGGAATAATTTTCCTCTCAGTGAGTGATGTCCGATCAGCAGGTTAAACATGGAAATTAACATTTTTCCCCATGTTAATTTAATGCATTAAAACTAAGAACTCCCACAATTACCAATAAGTAAATACATACAAGCAAGTGAGGTAATGTAAAGCAATTTTTAATTTTTAGACTGATAGAAATCCGACAAAGCTGAAGGGTGTAAGATATGATCAATCTTATAATTCTTTCGTTATTTTTAACAAGTAAAAAAAAAATACTACTAATATCAAGGTATTAGCAACATTTTCTTAATTTACATGTTCCGCTACAAACAAAAAAAAAAAAAAAAAGGAAAAAGTAACTCTCAAGATCGACACCTGGGGAGCTCATAGGGTCGGTATGGGTCAGGAACGATTGGACAACACCTTTTTAACCTTGTTCTTACACTAGATAGCATCAGATTTGAGCAACATGAAGAAACAATAGCTGTATGGAAGAGTTTCGCAATAGGTTAATACAGCTGTTAGCATCATTAGCACATAGGCTAGCGTATGTTCGCAGACAAATACTAAACACGAGACAAAATGCACGTATGCATTCTTGACAAATGAACACTCCATCTAAATAGTTGCAACAGTTCTTTAAAAAGCAAATTAAACGTAAAACATTTTTTTGCGAACCGTGTTAGAAACCATAGGACACTGGTTTAGATGGCCGAAAAAGCGGAGCGTTTACCTAGAAGCTATTTTGTAGATCAGCGCTCCGCCTGCAATAAACGCCGTAGCTCCGACCCCGCCGTACATTAACTGAGGGTACTCCAACAGCAGCATGTTAAATGTCTCCATTTCTAAGCTAAAATATTATCGTAGTGTTTTAAGTGCAGCGGTAAACACTGCGCGAGGGAGCACGCGGTAAAGAAATTCCTTTTGTTCACGCCCCCTGTACAGGAAGCGGAAGTACGTAGAAACTATAAGACGCGTTCTCTGGGGTAACATTTAGTCAAACATTATTGGGCACATATTCAAAATTGGGGGATATTTGACCTAATTTCCATTAAAGTACGCAATAAAAAATAAACGTATTATATTTTTGGTAAACTGCTGTTTATTCAAATCTCATTTCATCATCTATTTCAGAAACAAAGCCATTCACCAGGTTTAAGTGAAAAATACATTGAAAACAGTTTTCACAGTTTTTAACCCCTCCAGATTTACTACTTCCGAGGTACCTCAAATGCAACACCAAAATCTTTATCTGAGATTGACTTTTTTTTTTTAAATATTCTTTTATTTACGACATTTTTTTTCCACGTTGTTCAGAATTAAATCGCCCTCCTTTCAAAAACGTACAAATAAATCTCCAAAGAGATTCCCAGGAAACTTCAGTCAACTTTTATAATCGCGGAAAGTAATAAAATCATTAAACTAAACTTCTCATTTTGCCTTGAAACAACTATTTGTTCTTTAAAGTCAAGATGCTTCCATAAACAAAATATTTGTTTTCTACAAAAAATTAACATTTATTCTACAAATGAACAATATTTTCAGAACATAAAGGAATGAGACAATGAATGACAATATGCAAAAATATTTTATTTAAACAGTCATATATGTTTATGGTATTGAAATATTCACAATTTAAACGATATAAACGAGTCAGTGCATCAGTGTCATCAATAATGTAGCAGCTCAAAGAATCAGAACAATAAAAAATCAGTAAATAACGTACATAAACAGCCTATTTCAGCGTTTTCTAAATACAAAAATAAAAGTTAATAAAATATATAGGCTGACAACATTTTCCTTACACAAATGGAAAAAAAAATATCTGTATTTATCTCATGTTCTGGCAGCTTAATCTATTTAATTTTGAACAACTTCAATCAAATCTGTTATTGTCTTTTTGAAACCAGCATAAAAAAAAGAAAGACATGTTACAAATGTGTAAGAGCTAACATTTCAAAGTGTGATCTAACTAATTCAACCATCGAACAGTAAACTTAACGAACTTGATGTACGACAGCCAGCTGACCTGAAATAGTGAAGCACATGAACCGTGAACCTGTGAACAGGCGGCCACCAGTCAGAAAACCTGCAGTCCTCACTGCTCCGAGAAATAAACCAGCGGCGACTCCGCTTGTCGTGAATAGGAAGTGAACTGCGGGCAAGGCACAGACACCGTGCCTGCGTCCGGGCTCACCGGCTGGGTCACTCCTCCGTAAGGGTACGCGTTGTGTGGAACCAGCACGGGCGGGTGGCGATGTTGGTAGGCCCCGTAAACGGAGGGATGGAAGTGAGGCGGCGGGCAGTAGGAACCACCAATGGGCAGTCCGCGGGTGGATCCGGAGACGACCTGGGGCGCAGGGTACCCACTCGCCCAGGTGCCGCTCACATACGGCTGAAGGTAGAGAGACTCTGGATACTCCATAGGGTTTCCTGTCAGGTAAGGCAGGCCGGCGGGTCTGTAGGGTCTCCGCACCCTCCTCCGGCGCCGGTAGTTCCCTTTCTCGAACATGTCCTCAAAAGCCGGGTCCAGCATCCAGTAGTTGCCCTTCCTGTCCCCCCCGCTGTCCCTCGGGACCTTGATGAAGCACTCATTAAGAGACAAATTGTGCCGAATGCTGTTTTGCCACCCTTTCTTGTTCTTCTCGTAGTATGGAAACTTTGATATGATGTATTCATAAATCCCGCTCAGAGTCGTTCTCTTGTCCTGGCTCTCTTTGATTGCCATCGCAATCAGAGCCACGTATGAATACGGCGGCTTCTCCAGCTGGACGGTCCCGTCCTCACGCTCTGTTTTCTCCGAACCTTTCGACTCTGTTTGGGGAGAGCTGGAGCTGATATCCAGCAGCTGCATTTCCTGGGTCCCGGGGGTTTTATCCTCTGCGGCCATGACTCAGCTAGACTGTCCGCTTGTGAGTCCCGATGATGGAAGAGGAGTGTTTTGAGTGGCGTGAGTATGTCCGCAGGTGCAGATAACTCCGCCCACAGGTTGTACACAGAAGTAACAAGCGCCTTCTTTGATGCCACACTGGTTCTCACGCTGTTTATGCCCCAGTGTGTTGGTCTGATAAGAATGTTTTTGGTTAAAGCCACAGGTCAAAGGATTGCGCTTTAATCAAATACATACTTAGGACTTTGAAGCGACTCTTGAAACGATAGCTCTCGTTTGAAATCGGATTTTTTGTTTATAAGTCATTGACCAAGAAATGAGCATGGAATCATAAGGACTTACTGCATTTTATCACAGTGGTCCTTGTTGGTCTCTAATACTTGAACTTTATTTATTTATTTAAAACTAGAGGCACTTTAATTCATTAGAATGTCACTAAAAGGTTAACCTATTTCAATAATCCACGTGATAAACCAGTCAGCACACATTTATTTTCTTTATTCACAAAATGCCCAAAGTGCAAAATACACTAAAAACATAAAATAAAACAAAAGCACAGAGAATAAATTCTTAAACACGTGAAATGTCACGTGTCGACAGATAGGTTGAATTAATAGTTTACAAGTTTGGCTTTCAGCAAATAAAAACTCATTCAGTTTTTCAGAAGATTATATTACCTACAAATGTGTGTGTGTGTGTGTGTGTGTGTGTGTGTGTGTGTGTGTGTGTGTGTTATCTTTATGGCTTACAGCTAATTAAATACCATAATAAAAAAAAAACAGACATTGGCGTCTTTCATGACAAACAAGACATTGTTGCTAGAGAAGCTGACTATTTGCAGAGTGCTGTATTAATGGAAAGTTGAGTGGAAGGAAAACATGTGTTGGAAAAAGGACTACAAGCAGCAATTATATATATATATATATATATATATATATATATATATATATATATATAAGATGCCAATGACAGTCCATATCATTATATTACATAAAAATAATTTTTCATTTATTTTAATTAGCTGAATTAGCTGTAAGGCATAACGATAAGATATAGAATCAAATTGTGGTCAGCAATATTGTGGTTTATGAAGATGCAACTCAAAATCCTTTAAAATAGATTAACATAAAATTCTACAATCCTAAAGTTTCTTAACTCTACAGTTTTTTCATGCTCATTGATGCTTGCATTTGATGTTGAGTTAGCTTGGCCCAGCTGTAAGAAAAACACCAGTTTTATAAAACATTTCAAAGACCTACAAGAAAGAAGGTATGTACTAATTTTACATATCACATGCAGATAAACTGTATCATTTGGTAAAGAAATTTACTAAGGTTATGGATTGAACATTAGAAGTTATAATTTTCATCATGTTTTGTGAAATTTGATTTCCTTCATTTAAATAAAGTGCATTTGAGCAAAGTATTTTAAAAGGCAAAAGCAGGAAATCAACTGTGGATATTGTGATATTTCTCTGACTTATGAAGACAAAAAAAAGGGAAAATGCAAATTTAACTCTTTGTGTTTCTGAGCATTTTGTAAAAGCTCCAATAAACTGTTGACATTTTTTGTAAACAGACCAGCAAGTGTGGAATGTGATCTTGCTTTAGACAAACGTATGATGATTTAAATATAGACACATCATTTGTTTGTGTCTATATTTAACTTTGATAGTAGACAACAGAAATTTTATAGCTTTACTTTGTGCTGACAATTGTCAGTTCTTTTAAAACTTAAGTTTATGAAATCCTGCATTCACTCATGTGACTTAAAAAATAATTAGCATGAGATGGATACTGTCCCAACCCCACCAAGGGACAAGGGTGTAAAGAAAATGGATGGATGGATGGATGGATGGATGGATGGATGGATGGATACTGAGTGGGATCTGAAGGGCTCTTGGAGGCCCCCTGGCGGCCTGGAGGTCTTAAGCAGTGATTTCAGTTTACATTTGCCTAAAGCAGGCTATTCTACTGACTGATAAAATAGGGCTGATTCAAGGTGGGAGCCTTAAACAGAATTAGATTTGGGCCTGTCTTCTTGTTTAGATCATCACCACCCCTAACAGATTACATATTTGGTAGAATCTGGGAGCGGGGACCAAGTTTAATTGGCTTTGAGAAAAGGTTATTTTTTGCTAAGGTGTAATTTGTAATCAAACTAAGCTCCAACACAAAGAATAAAGTATTAAACTCGAAGCAACAGATTGTAACTATGGTAACACAATAATCAAACAGTGAAGATTAAAATGAGCAATTTAAAGAGTAAACTTGCCAATTCCTTTATATTTATTTTTTTACCCATTTAAAATCCTTTATTTTATCTATACTGAAAGTGTCAATTTTTTTTTTACTAATATTCTCTTTACCAACAAAAAAAAAATTGTAAAAATGTAGATTTATGATCTGGCCTTTATGGGACGAATAGTTTAGGGGCCCCAAACAGCAGCTTAGTTCACTAATGCCTTTGATCAGCTCTGTTATATGTCATTCTATCATGACCTCACTTAAAGTTGTCTTTTCATTTTTTATTTGACTTGAACTCTAAAAGTATCCATGAATATAACCTATTGCAACACACAAAGACTCTTTCCCCCCCCTCCCCCGCTTTTCCATGCAGGTGATTTTCTTTTACACAGTACTTATCTATGGCAACAAGCTGCTGGGATTTTCCGTGGACATGGTTGAGAAGTATTTTAGCAGGTTTTCAGGTTATCAGTGCCCAACTTCCCACACACGTACAGTGAGGTATGAACAGCGGGCCTGTCAATATGCTGAGGGAAGCAGATAATGATCGCCTGCTCTGCCCGGGCAGTCTGTCTGTCTGAACTGATCTATAGGGGAGCAGCCAGGTGAAAAACAAACGCTTCCCTGATGCCAATCAAAGGGCATTTTTAAATTATTATCATTGGAGCAAAATACATTTATTACACTCATGTAATGCGTGTTCAAACAAAAAGTGACTTGTGTTGGATACAAAGATGAAGTGTTGTAGATCGGAGTTAGGAATACCACCAACCTTCATCATTTTTACCAGAACGCCTGATGCAGTCCAGAT